TGGCCCCGCCTCTTCACCGGTTGCTACTGGGCCCTCTCTCTCCTCGCTCCATGAGCTTTATCAAACCTTATTTAAAACTATGTATGGTTCCTGCCTCCACTACGTCACTTTCTAGGCTACTTCACTGCCTGACAACTCTATGACTGAAGAAATACTTCCTAATATCTCTCTGACTCATCTGTGTCTTCAACATCCAATTGTGACCTCTTGTTTCTGTGTCCCCTCCCTGGAACATCCTGTCTTTGTCCACCTTGTCTATTCTGCGCAGTATTTTATGTCGTTATCATGTCTCCCCTGACCCTCCTGTCCTCCAGTGTCATCAGGCCAATTTCCCTTAACCTTTCTTCATAGGACATTCCCCTTAGCTCTGGAACTAACCTTGTCACAAACCTTTGTACTTTCTCTAGTTTCTTGACATGCTTTATCAAGTGCGGGTTCCAAACAGGTGCTGCATACTCCAGTATGGGCCTGACGTACATGGTGTACAGTGTCTTGAACGATTCCTTACTAAGGTATCGGAACGCTGTTCTCAGGTTTGCCAGGCGCCCATATGCTGCAGCAGTTATCTGGTTGATGTGTGCTTCCGGAGACATGCTCGGTGTTATACTCACCCCAAGATCTTTCTCCTTGAGTGAGGTTTGCAGTCTTTGGCCACCTAGCCTATACTCTATCTGCGGTCTTCTGTGCCCTTCCCCTATCTTCATGACTTTGCATTTGGCGGGATTAAATTCGAGAAGCCATCTGCTGGACCAGGTGTCCAGTCTGTCCAGGTCTCTTTGAAGTCCTGCCCGGTTCTCATCTGATTTAATTCTCCTCATTAACTTCACATCGTCTGCAAACAGGGACACTTCTGAGTCTAACCCTTCCATCATGTCATTCACATATACCAAAAATAGCACTGGTCCTAGGACCGACCCCTGCGGGATCCCGCTCGTCACAAGTGCCCACTGTGATGCATCCTTACATACCATGACTCGTTGTTGCCTCCCTGTCAGATATTCTCTGATCCATTGCAGTGCCCTTCCTGTTATATGCGCCTGATCCTCTAGCTTCTGCACAAATCTCTTGTGAGGAACTGTGTCAAAAGCCTTCTTGCAGTCCAAGAAGATGCAATCAACCCACCCCTCTCTCTAGTGTCTTACTTCTGTTACTTTATCATAAAACTCCAGAAGGTTTGTGACACAGGATTTGCCTTCCATGAATCCGTGCTGGTTGGCATTTATACTCTTGTTCCGTTCCAGGTGCTCCACCACTCTCCTCCTGATAATCTTCTCCATAACTTTGCATACTATACACATCAATGACACAGGTCTATAGTTTAGTGCCTCTTTTCTGTCTCCTCTTTTAAAAATGGGAACTACATTTGCCGTCTACCATACCTCAGGTAGTTGCCCAGTTTCCAGGGACGTGTTGAAGATTGTGGTAAGTGGCACGCACAGCATATCCGCTCCCTCTCTAATGACCCATGGGGAGATGTTGTCCGGTCCCATTGCCTTTGAGGTATCGATGTCCCTTAGCAGTTTCTTCACCTCCTCCTCATCTATATGTATCTAATGTACCCCTGTTTGTCCCTCAGTCGTGCTTTCTCTTGCAGAATCCTGGTTCGAACTGATTCTTCCTTGAACATTACTTTGACAAGCCGTATCCTTCCACTCGCAAACCACCCAATTCTCCGAAAATTTGTCACCTGGGTCATGTCGCCCTCACCTATCGTTTTCATGATGCCTTCAATCATTTTTTCCTCCTCCTGTTTTATTTCTTCGAAGTTGTCCCCCTTGGCTTCTTGGAGCCCGTAGACAAAAACATATGCTGCTATGCATGATAATTCTATGTAACTGTATTTGTGTATACCTGAATAAACTTACTTACTTACCTCACCCTTTACTCCTCCCACTGAGTCTCCATTTGCATCCTCTGAGGCATTTTATTTCCTTCCATTGAAATGTTCTTGCCTTCAGTCCCTGTCCTATCTGAAACTTTTAGTCTCAGTGAACTGTCTTTCATGATCAGCTGTTCCTTGCTACTGCAGTTGGCTGTTAGAGTCTCTGCATATAACATACCTTCATTGTCTTCTGACCTGTCATTTGATCTTAGTGTGCTCCTCGTCTTTTCCCTGGCCCCACATGGGTCTGATAGGGCCTTCGCGTATAGCATATCTCCTTTGTTTCTTACCGTCCCCTTGTCTGTGCCTGACATAGAAATTCCTGATGTCCCATCTGAATTGTCATTTGTCTCTCCAATCTGTTTTAGGTTTTGCAGTTTCTCTTCTAAGCCCTGTATCCTAGCTTCTGCTGCTAAGACCTGTAGCTCTCACTTCCTGCACTCTTCAGCTATCCGCTCTTCCATTATCTTGCCAAGCTCTTCTATCTTCTTTCCCCACTCTTCCTCCCATTTTTGGAGCTCTAACTCCCAATCTTTCCTCCCTGGTTCGTCCACCAGATCTCTGGTTTTCCGCCCTCTAGGGCCACCCATTTTTTTTTTTTACCACAGACAGAAGCTTATGTATTTTACCACAGAGAGAAGTTTATGTGTTTTCAGGGTGTGTGTGTGGGGGGGGGGAGGGACAAGGCTAGAGGAGAGAGAGAGAAAATATGAGGGGGAAGGCTAGAGGGAGAGAGTGAGAGGGGGAAAGAGAAAGGGTAGAAAGAGGGAGAGAGAGGAGAGAGTATGGGGGTGAGGGATAAGACTAGGGAGGAGAGAAAGGGTAGAGAGAGGGAGAGAGAAAGAGAGAGAGATAGAGAGGGAGAGAGGAGGGTGAGGGAAAAGGCTATGAGAGAGAGAAATGCGAGGGAGGGGTAGAAAGATAGAAAGAGGGAGAGGGAGAGAGAAGCCTATGGAGAGAGACAGAGGAGGGTGAGGGATAGGGCTATGGGAGTGAGCGAGAGAGAGAGAAGGGGGAAGGGGGAGGGAAAGAGGCTATGAGAGAGAGAAATGCAAGGGAGGGGGAGGGAGAAAGATAGGAGGAGGGAGGAGGGAGTGAAGGCTAGAATGGGGGGTGGAGGAATGGTCTGTGGGGGAGGGAAAGGGAGAGAGGGGGGTGGGGGGATGCAGTCAAATTCCAGGGATCAGCTGTGTGAATGAGTGGGTGTGTGTGTACTCACCTAGTTGTGGTTTCAGGGGTCGAGACTCAGCTCCTGGCCCTGAGTGTGTATGTGTGTGTGTGTGCGTGTACTCACCTATTTGTGGTTGCAGGGGTCGAGTCTTAGCTCCTGGCCCCGAGTGTGTGTGTGCATGCGCGTGTGTGTGTGCGTGCGTGTGTGTGTGCGCACGTGTGTGTGTGTGAGCATGACAGTTGTTTATATGTCCCAGAAATACACCTCACCTCTGTGTATCCATAATACTAATAAAATACCATTAATACTGAGAGTAATTCTAATAATTATAATACTAGCGTGTGTTAACGAGTCTTTCTTTCGCCCAGTTATGTGTGTGTGTGTGGGGGGGTTATTAAGTGTCTGAAAGGCAGGTGGAATTGTGCATTGGAGTGTTATGCGGAGTCTCAGTGGCCCCTTACCTGACCACAACCTCTTGCGACCTGACCCCCACCCTCCTGTGACTTGACCCGCCCCTATTTACAATGCTGCCCTCTATGCGTGTGTGTGTGTGTACGTATGTGTGAGTGTGCACATGCGTGCATGCATGTGTGCTTGCATATGGCATGAGACAGACAAGAGCAAATGGAGACAAGTGGTTTTTAATGGATGTGTATTGGTATGTGAGCAAGGTTAAGATTTATAAAGGGATTCAGGGGAAACTGGCTAACCAAACCTAAGTTCTAGAGGTGAGAAGGGCATGGTCAATGCTCTGAAGGAGAGGTGGGGATGTTGCAGTCTGAGGGTAATCAGAGTTGTGATGTCAGCACACTACTGGCAAGGCAGTAATTGAATAAATGGCAACTGCTTTTTCTTCTTTGGGATACCATGCCTTGGCAGAAAACAACCACTGAGGAAAAAAATAATGGTCACAATGAATTTTAAAAATTCTGGGAATGTAAATACTTGACAACTTAAGGGGCATGTCAGTTCGCATTTTCTAATAATACATTATTTTTCCCCTAGAATCAACCTTGTCCACAATTGCTATCGCATTTGCTTTGTCTGCTTTCATAAGATGAAGTCTAGGCTCTTTCCTTAATTTATGGTACGTATAACTTAACAAATCTTTGAGGACAATTGTGTTGTACAGGTCTGAGCAAAGCTCAAAAAGATCCTAGACTTCACTTTACAAAAGCAGACAAAGCAAATGTGATAGTAATTATGAACAAGGTAGATTATAAGGGAAAAATAAACATGATATTAGGAGACAGGGGAAACTTATGCACCTCTTAACTGGAACAACTTTATGGAAATCAATCTTTTAAAACTTAACCTGATTCTAACAACAGGAAAAACACTCAATTAGTTTCCTATATATTTTTTTACTTCAATGGCCATCTCCCACCATAGCAGGGTGACCCAAAGAATAAAACACATTCATTCATATAATTGCTACTGACTTCACAATTATCTACCTATATTCAATGTGCAGTTTCCCACTATGTTGGTAAATGTGGTTTCTCCAAGCACTGTTTTCCTAGTATTCACATGGCTCCATACACATTTCCCTTGAAAGGAAGATGCCTTGAAGGTGGTGAAGAGTTTCTGTTCCAAGGAATTAGAGCTACCCTTTTTTTTCTTAGATTAGACCTGATTACCCACATTCCTTAAGTTCTTTATGACCCTACAGGTTTAGCAATGCCCATGAATATAACCCACACACATTTATCATGAAATATTCTAACACTTTTAATTTAAATTAATGCTTTTTCAACTAAAAATATGTTTTAATTTCAGTAGAAAATTTAAATTTACTAAAAATGCTGGAAAATATGTGAAAAACTGTAAAATTTCAAAAGATTAAATTTCATATAAAATCCTTTGCACATTTTTCCATCTATCCTTTCCCAAAACAAAAATAAAGTACTGCCTGTTTTTTTTAATATATACTGCATATATAAGTACCTCAGTTTGTGGTGTTGAAGGTGGAGGGTTTCTGGTAAAAGTCAGAGGTGTGGAAGGTGTGGGTCTAGGATGGCTGCCACTGATACCAAGTGTTTTCCTCGACCCAGCAATGCTGATGCCCTCTGACTGAGTTGAACTACTCTTCGACACCTTGATGACACTAGTGTCGGTTGATTTAGGCACATTGGCACTTAATGAGTTCCAATCCAAACTTTCCAGCTCAGACAAATCAGTAAATTGCGAGCCAGCATCAAGTGTTTTTCTTGAACCACCATTACTGGTGTCCTTGGACTGTGTTGAACCAATCTTTGATGCCTTGGCAACACCAGTGTCAGCTAATCTAGGCATATCAGCATCTAGTGAGCTCCAATCCAAATCTTCCAGTTGAGACCAATCATTATCTAGTGAGCCAGCACCACTGAAGTTTCTTGATGTAGATGCCGAACCACTAGTATTTGCAGCATTGGACACAGAACTGCCCGAAGATTTATAGCTGCACTGCTGTTTTTGTGAAGTTATGGTGCTATGTTGATTTTGCTGGGGATGGATCTGAGTTTTTGCAACTTCTATACGAGGTAGGGGTAGGCCCATTTCTTTAAGCCTGTTTATAAAGATACAAAGCATAAATATAATTCCTATTTACAAAAATAAATGTATAAATAAATATATTAAAATCAGTGGTTCTGAGGACTAGGAAAATATCATTCACTTTATTAGGAAGGGCATTTTAGGGGGTTCCTTCATACTGGTGAAGAGCTCTGGATCCAAAGAATTGGAGCTACCCTTTCCTTGGATCAAATCTATTTCTTATTCCTAAGCTTTAACTTTAAAACTTTTGACTACCTCACAGTAGAAATAAGATAAAATACTGAATATTTAAAAATTAACCATTCTTAACCTGTCTGGACTTAAGTACAGTATTAGGATTAGTCTGCCCAAAATGCCCCAGCATAATAGTGACTTTCTTTATTTTTTTTTTTTTATTATCACACCGGCCGATTCCCACCAAGGCAGGGTGGCCCGAAAAAGAAAAACTTTCACCATCATTCACTCCATCACTGTCTTGCCAGAAGGGTGCTTTACACTACAGTTTTTGAACTGCAACATTAACACCCCTCCTTCAGAGTGCAGGCACTGTACTTCCCATCTCCAGGACTCAAGTCCGGCCTGCCGGTTTCCCTGAATCCCTTCATAAATGTTACTTTGCTCACACTCCAACAGCACGTCAAGTATTAAAAACCATTTGTCTCCATTCACTCCTATCAAACACGCTCACGCATGCCTGCTGGAAGTCCAAGCCCCTCGCACACAAAACCTCCTTTACCCCCTCCCTCCAACCCTTCCTAGGCCGACCCCTACCCCGCCTTCCTTCCACTACAGACTGATACACTCTTGAAGTCATTCTGTTTCGCTCCATTCTCTCTACATGTCCGAACCACCTCAACAACCCTTCCTCAGCCCTCTGGACAACAGTTTTGGTAATCCCGCACCTCCTCCTAACTTCCAAACTACGAATTCTCTGCATTATATTCACACCACACATTGCCCTCAGACATGACATCTCCACTGCCTCCAGCCTTCTCCTTGCTGCAACATTCATCACCCACGCTTCACACCCATATAAGAGCGTTGGTAAAACTATACTCTCATACATTCCCCTCTTTGCCTCCAAGGACAAAGTTCTTTGTCTCCACAGACTCCTAAGTGCACCACTCACTCTTTTTCCCTCATCAATTCTATGATTCACCTCATCTTTCATAGACCCATCCGCTGACACGTCCACTCCCAAATATCTGAATACGTTCACCTCCTCCATACTCTCTCCCTCCAATCTGATATTCAATCTTTCATCACCTAATCTTTTTGTTATCCTCATAACCTTACTCTTTCCTGTATTCACCTTTAATTTTCTTCTTTTGCACACCCTACCAAATTCATCCACCAATCTCTGCAACTTCTCTTCAGAATCTCCCAAGAGCACAGTGTCATCAGCAAAGAGCAGCTGTGACAACTCCCACTTTGTGTGTGATTCTTTATCTTTTAACTCCACGCCTCTTGCCAAGACCCTCGCATTTACTTCTCTTACAACCCCATCTATAAATATATTAAACAACCACGGTGACATCACACATCCTTGTCTAAGGCCTACTTTTACTGGGAAAAAATTTCCCTCTTTCCTACATACTCTAACTTGAGCCTCACTATCCTCGTAAAAACTCTTCACTGCTTTCAGTAACCTACCTCCTACACCATACACTTGCAACATCTGCCACATTGCCCCCCTATCCACCCTGTCATACGCCTTTTCCAAATCCATAAATGCCACAAAGACCTCTTTAGCCTTATCTAAATACTGTTCACTTATATGTTTCACTGTAAACACCTGGTCCACACACCCCCTACCTTTCCTAAAGCCTCCTTGTTCATCTGCTATCCTATTCTCCGTCTTACTCTTAATTCTTTCAATTATAACTCTACCATACACTTTACCAGGTACACTCAACAGACTTATCCCCCTATAATTTTTGCACTCTCTTTTATCCCCTTTGCCTTTATACAAAGGAACTATGCATGCTCTCTGCCAATCCCTAGGTACCTTACCCTCTTCCATACATTTATTAAATAATTGCACCAACCACTCCAAAACTATATCCCCACCTGCTTTTAACATTTCTATCTTTATCCCATCAATCCCGGCTGCCTTACCCCCTTTCATTTTACCTACTGCCTCACGAACTTCCCCCACACTCACAACTGGCTCTTCCTCACTCCTACAAGATGTTATTCCTCCTTGCCCTATACACGAAATCACAGCTTCCCTATCTTCATCAACATTTAACAATTCCTCAAAATATTCCTTCCATCTTCCCAATACCTCTAACTCTCCATTTAATAACTCTCCTCTCCTATTTTTAACTGACAAATCCATTTGTTCTCTAGGCTTTCTTAACTTGTTAATCTCACTCCAAAACTTTTTCTTATTTTCAACAAAATTTGTTGATAACATCTCACCCACTCTCTCATTTGCTCTCTTTTTACATTGCTTCACCACTCTCTTAACTTCTCTCTTTTTCTCCATATACTCTTCCCTCCTTGCATCACTTCTACTTTGTAAAAACTTCTCATATGCTAACTTTTTCTCCCTTACTACTCTCTTTACATCATCATTCCACCAATCGCTCCTCTTCCCTCCTGCACCCACTTTCCTGTAACCACAAACTTCTGCTGAACACTCTAACACTACATTTTTAAACCTACCCCATACCTCTTCGACCCCATTGCCTATGCTCTCATTAGCCCATCTATCCTCCAATAGCTGTTTATATCTTACCCTAACTGCCTCCTCTTTTAGTTTATAAACCTTCACCTCTCTCTTCCCTGATGCTTCTATTCTCCTTGTATCCCATCTACCTTTTACTCTCAGTGTAGCTACAACTAGAAAGTGATCTGATATATACCTAACAAATTATAAAATGTAATCACACATTGTAACCTTTGCAATGAAGTAAATTTTGTCTTTGTTTTTGTCTTTAGGCAGTGAGACACTCTAGTCTATAGGCTTAGCACTTCTCATAAATATACTGCTAATAAATAATATATGGTAATAATAAATAAAAAACATTTGGAGGGGCATCTGAACTGTAGTATCAGTATGCCTCTGGCAAGACAGTGATGGACTGAATGAGAGTGAAAAATGTTTCTTTTTTCAGGTCACCCTACCTTGGAGGTAGATGGCCAGTGTGTTAAAAAATATTATTATTTTGAATTTGGATTTGAATTTCTACAAAGTACAATACAACTGATACATAATTTATAGAAAGCCTTTGGTTATGCAAAGCATTTTGTGTAGTCTAGGTCAGTGTTGTTCCCCAGGATGTAACCCACAACCATTGGCGGCTCGTATTGCCAGTAATACCTATACTATTGTACTGCATCAAACTTCTATTTTTAATAATTTTTTATCAACAAAAAAATAAAAATTCACTTATAAATACATTGACAACAACATACAACAGATTTTTCCTGTAATATATTTGACCTGCAAATTATTTTAGCATAAGGTTGATGAAGTCATACGTCTGGCAGTAAGCATCTGGGGGTACTGCAGCTCTGCAGCTCCTGTGGACAAGCCGCCACTGCCCACAACTCAGCTAACATCCAGGTACCTACTTACTGCTAGGTGAACAGGGGCTGCAAGTGTAAGGTAACATGCCCAATGCTTCACCCATGCCAGGTATCAATCCCAGACCCTCAGTATATGAACTGAAGATGCAAGTGCCATTCACTTTATTAGCAAGGAAAATGTTAACAGTACAGCACAGTAAGTCCTCGACTAATGAATATATTGAGAATCTTCTGTACTGTGTATAATATTCGCAATACAGGAAGTCTTCAACAAACATGTTGGAGACCTGTATTGTGTATAATAATAATATTATACACAGGTGAACATATTCAGATATTTGGGAGTGGACGTGTCAGCGGATGGGTCTATGAAAGATGAGGTGAATCATAGAATTGATGATGGAAAAAGAGTGAGTGGTGCACTTAGGAGTCTGTGGAGACAAAGAACTTTGTCCTTGGAGGCAAAGAGGGGAATGTATGAGAGTATAGTTTTACCAACGCTCTTATATGGGTGTGAAGCGTGGGTGATGAATGTTGCAGCGAGGAGAAGGCTGGAGGCAGTGGAGATGTCATGTCTGAGGGCAATGTGTGGTGCGAATATAATGCAGAGAATTCGTAGTTTGGAAGTTAGGAGGAGGTGCGGGATTACCAAAACTGTTGTACAGAGGGCTGAGGAAGGGTTGTTGAGGTGGTTCGGACATGTAGAGAGAATGGAGCGAAACAGAATGACTTCAAGAGTGTATCAGTCTGTAGTGGAAGGAAGGCGGGGTAGGGGTCGGCCTAGGAAGGGTTGGAGGGAGGGGGTAAAGGAGGTTTTGTGTGCGAGGGGCTTGGACTTCCAGCAGGCATGCGTGAGCGTGTTTGATAGGAGTGAATGGAGACAAATGGTTTTTAATACTTGACGTGCTGTTGGAGTGTGAGCAAAGTAACATTTATGAAGGGATTCAGGGAAACCGGCAGGCCGGACTTGAGTCCTGGAGATGGGAAGTACAGTGCCTGCACTCTGAAGGAGGGGTGTTAATGTTGCAGTTTAAAAACTGTAGTGTAAAGCACCCTTCTGGCAAGACAGTGATGGAGTGAATGATGGTGAAAGTTTTTCTTTTTCGGGCCACCCAGCCTTGGTGGGAATCGGCCAGTGTGATAATAAAAATAAAAAAATAATACAGAAGATTCTTAATGTGTTCGTAAGTCGAGGAATTACTGTACTGTGTTATCAACATTTTCCTTGCTAATAAAGTGAACGGCACTTGTGTCTTCAGTTCATATACTGAGGGTTTGGGATTGATACCTGGCATGGATGAAACACTGGAGCCCCTGTTCACCTAGCAGTAGGTAGGTACCTGGGTGTTAGCTGGCTGTTGTAGGTCACATCCTGGGGGACAACACTAACCTTCTCTAGAGACGGAAGCAATGCTTCTATTACAACAAATATCTCAAATTACTGCTTTACTTGCTGTATGTCTCCTTTGCAGTTATTTTTCTAGACAAGAAGCACTGGCTACTGACAAATTCCTGAAAACAACAAGTAGAAAGAACAATAAAATCCAGTAACTGACACTACAGATGCTCCTTGCTTCACAATATTTCAACTTTACAATGGTGATAAAACTGTAAAACTTTTTTTTTGTATTGTACAGTACTGTACATTTATTGATAAGATAAACTTGAATTCATTTATTTACTTTTCAATACAGTGGAACCTCGGTTTTCGTCTTTAATTCGTTCCAGAGAGTCTGACGAAAACCGAATTCGACGAAAACTGCAGCAATATTTCCCATAAGAAATAATGTAAATACAATTAATCTGTTCCAGACACTCAAAAATATTAACAAAAAATACATTTTATGGAGAATAACTATAGGTTTACATATAGAAAACAATGAGAAATAAACATAAAGCACTAATGAACTGGACAAATGAACATTTAACATCACTTTTACCTTCACTGAAGACTCTTGTTGGCATATGGAAGATGGAGGAGAGGTTATCTCTACCACCATCTACCACAATCACTACCACCATCACAACCACTACCACCCTCTACCACCATCACTACCAGCCTCTACCACCATCACTACCACCCTCTACCACCATCACTACCACCCTCTACCTTTGTAGAGGGTGGTAGTGATATTTCTCCACAAAACTTTGCAACTCATTCCACTTTCATACTTTGCTATGAGTTCTTTCTTGAATTCTATCGTGTTGCTCGCCTTCTTTATCAAAGAGCTGGCACGCGGAACTTTCTTTGGCCCCATGGTGGCTTATTTAGCAGTCGCACTCAATAAACAAGCACAAAAAATAATGGATTATTACAAAATGTTTTGTATGAATGCGCAGGGTAATGTTCACTCAATGAGAAACAAAGCCAGACTGAGTGGGAAGGAGCAGGCAGATGGGCACATTCTATACGGTGGATGAAAACTGAGGTGATGAACAAAAACTGGAATATTTTGATGATAAAAATTGCTGAAAACCGAATTCAACGAAAACCAAGATTCCACTGTACTTGTATTTAATTAGTTATAATTATTTGTTTATTTACTCATACAGTGGACCCCCGGTTTTCGGCCGGTGCTGAAATCGGCCAATTAGGAAACTGAGCACTTTTCTGGTGAAATTTCCCCCCGGATTTTGTGCATCCGCTCGGAAACCATTGGTACCAGACACGTTCACCTGGTCCTTCAAGAAAGATGCCAGTAAGCTCTTTATTCAAGGAACTGGACTTATGCTCTTCATTGCATTGAATCTGACTGCCTCCCATTCCCCACCCATTATATGACTGCTATGAGTTTAGTGCTTTTTTTATTTATTTTTAGTAAGACAACAACCATTTCCCACTGAGGCAGCATGACCTGAAACTGAAGAAACATTCTCATCATCCTTCACTCCATCACTGTCTTCCTCAACTATAATAATGATAATGTTGTGTGGAACAAGGGAAGTCTAAACATGTAAGAGGTGAATGAACAACCTGAGAGCCATGGCAAGTTCAAAGCGTTCCTTTTGCATGGCCAGCAAGGCAGAGTTCAGGTACTCCCCTTCCTCCTGCCTACTTGATATCTCTGAAGTCAACCTGTTAAATGATACAAGAGAAAAAACATTAGGGGCATCTCAAACAATAATAATGTTTCCAAGTTAGGATTACTTCCAGCTGCTTACTGAAGCTTCTCCACAAGTTCATAACTTATGTCTAGTTTTCAGTAACCTGTAAGCATTAGAATTAGCCTGCTCAAAATGCTCATGTATTCTAGCTTAAGAATATTTTATTACATGTACACTACACATTTTACTGTACAAAGAAGTAGATCATTTTTTTTATTTACAGAGGATGCCTACTGTTTTGGAGACCTACCTGGCTATGTGTTGGATGTGGGTATGAAATTTTGAAAGTGAATCTAACCCTAGACTTGTCTTATCTTGTCTAGAAAAATATACCTCGAGAAATAATCTTCACTCATTATACCCAGGTATGCTGTACCCAGAAAGGACAAATATTAATATACAATCTGATCAGAATTTGTTGATATTGAAGAACATACAAAGCAACAAACACTGAGGAGAATGCATGGTTTATAAGTAGGCAAATTCATTCAGGTATACACAAATATAGTTACACAGATTATCATACATAGCAGCATGTGTAGAGAACCTAGGATAATCCAAGAAAGTCAGACAAATTGACTTATTTCCATTGGGGTCCTTATCACAATAATATTTCATAACCCACACTCATGAAGACCTCACTAGAGCAATAACTGTTCTCATTATCAAGGAACTGTTCTTTCTTCCTCTAAAAATATTTACATGATGGAATATTATGGTACTACTATACATGTACTCCTGTCTTCCATGACCTCCTTCCCTGCCTACTATACATGTACTCCTGTCTTCCATGACCTCCTTCCCTGCAACAGATTAATGCTGTTGCTACAAATGTTGCACTTCTCAGACAGGAATAGGCCCAACAGAAATGACCTACACAAAATCCAGGAAGTGTTTATGTATATGAAGCAGATATTCACTGCTGTCGATGAGTCCTTGATTCTGTTCAAGGGACACCTGACATTCAAGCAATATATACCGAGCAAATGTAACTGCTTCAGCATAAAACTTTTTTTGTGTGCGACTGTGATAGTGGTCTTCTGTTGAATGTCGTTGTATACACTGGGAAAAACACACTCGATGATGACAAACTTGAATAACAGACTTGAATAGCTAGACCAATATCTAACGTACCTCTGCTCTCTAAAATCTTTGAAAAATTAATTCATATGCAGATCTATTCCTACCTTGTCTCACACGACATACTCAACCCCTCTCAGTTTGGATTCAGGACTAATAAAAGCACAAATGATGCTATTATACACATTCCAGAACTAATATACGTAAAGCTTTTGATACAGTCGACCATGATTTGCTGCACATTAAATTAACACACTGTGGTATAAGAGGGGACTCCCTCAACTACCAAAAGTCATACCTTAGTAATAGAAGCAAATATGTGTACACAAATGGAGCTAACTCTTCTACATAACCAATTACAGTCATGGTCCCACGAGGAAGTGTCCTTGGCCCTCTTCTCTTTCTCATTTACATCAATGACCTACTGAATGCATCACAACTACATATGTCTTCTCTCACTCAAATCCAGTCATACTGGCAAACACTGTTAATGCTGAATTGCAGAAAATATCTACCTGGATGATGACTAACAAGCTTACTCTCAATACTGACCAAACCTATTTCATTCAGTTTGGAAACAGAGCCACAAATGTTCCACTTAACATAATGCTAAATGGATCACCGATCACAAGACATACAGAGGGAAAATTTCTAGGAATCCACCTTGACAGTAGCCTCAAATTCCAGATACATATACAACAAATTTCCAAGAAAATCTCTAAGACAGTAGGCATACTATCAAAGTTATGGTACAATGTTTCACAATCAGCCCTCCTTGCACTGTAACACTCACTCATCTACCCTTATCTCATCTATGGAATTTGTGCATGGGGATCAACAACATTAAATCACCTAAGACCACTAATAACCCAGCAAAAGGCTGCAGTCAGAATGATAACAAATTCCCACTCCAGACAGCATACTCCACCAATATTCAAAAGTCTAAAACTACTCACCGTAAAGAACATTCATACTTATTCTTGCGCCTACTACGTACATAGAACACTACACTCAAACATAAACCCTCCACTCAAACTTCTCCTCACCAACCTTAACAGGACATACTACCATAACACAAGACACAGAGCACTTTTTGATGTACTCCATGTCCACATCATACTGTGTAAGAATTCTATGCACATAAAAGGCCCCAAAATTTGGAATTCATTACCAGTAAATACTAAAGTAACCCAGTCTGAACATCAATTTAAGACTCTTCTCAAAAACCATCTATTCACCCTAAACTAAATACTCAATACTTAAATTTGCTAAAAAATTTCCCAATTACCTAAATCTTAACACTTCAAAATTTAGATACCCAAAGTTCATACATAACTTAATACTATATTGTAGTATAAATACCTGCACAAAACTATACTGCATTACACCAAATTGTAGCATTCTCATACTGTAAACTACTTTCACCAACACTCAATATTATATTCCAATAATATAATTTAAATACTTACTATTGATATACACAACCTACAAAATACATTCAACTTGTCCCACTGTAATATCCCCAGATTGTAATTTGAGTGAACTTTCTATCTGCTAGAAATAAAAACAGATGTACAACTTAAACAAACTATGATCAATTTCTCTAGTATTAAGTAGTCTGCCCATAATGCCAGGGCATGACAGTGGCTCTCTTTGCACTGCAACTCATTATTGTAATTACAGAATCTCAATGTAAACTTGCAAGGAAATAAAAATTGTATTGTATTGTACAGATGAATGTTGGGCATTTCTGGTGATGTTGTTCGCAAGATGATGGAACCATACCCTTGCAAGAGTCATATACTGTACACAGATAACTGGTATACAAGCCCTATGCTCATTTATTTCCTATGAGTGAACAATACTGATTTATGTGGAACAGTGAGAAGGAATAGAAAACATATGCCAAGGTTCAGTGGAGGCAGTGTTGATGATGGTGCAATGCAAATTTTTCATACCAACGACATCATGGTACTGATATGGCATGACAAACAGGATGTGACACTGCTGTCAACCATCCACAGAAACGAGATGGTGCAAACGGATAAAGTGAATCGGGACACCAATGAACGTACTGTCAAGCCAGCTGTTGTGGTCGACTATATAAACAATATGCGACTAGGCGACAAGTGTGACATGTTGTGCAAGAATGGTATATAATACCGACAAGATGAAATTAAGATACATGTGCATCATCTGGGTATCTTTATTGTAGACGTTTTGCCAACCAGTGGCTTTATCAATACAAATTCTAGGACATAACTTGAAGGTTGAGGGACTGATTACCTCCTCATCTGTATATAGTCCTACTGTCTTCAAGTTATGTCCTGGAATTTGTATTGATAAAGCCACTGGATGGCGAAACGTCTACAATAAAGATACCCAGATGTTGCACATGTGTCTTAATTTCATCTTGTCGGTATTATATACCATTCTTGCACAACTTGTCAGACACTGCAACATCATGGAATCTTGATTCTCAGGACATGTACATAACCTTCACGGCTACGACAACTACTACTACAACTAGCCCATCTCTTTGGGAAGGACCTACTTCCACTGGGAATCCCACCTACCAGTGACTATGCCCTCGTCTGCTACACCTGACGTTACTATATAAGCGCCAGGCTCCTTGCTTCTGCTTCAGATTCTCCACGACTACGGTGCTCTTCGCACCTACTCCTAGGTTGAGGGACTGATTACCTCATCTTCTGTATATAGTCCTACTGTCTTCAAGTTATGTCCTAGAATTTGTATTGATAAAGCCACTGGATGGCGAAACGTCTACAATAAGGATACCCAGATGCTGCACATGTGTCTTAATTTCATCAAGTGTGACATGTTGATAGGGTTCATTGACTGTGTGCATAGGAGTCACAAGTGGTATATAAAAGTGTTTTTCCACCTTGTAGACATTGCAGTCCTCAATGCATTCAATATGTACAAAATAAAGACTTGAAAAAGACAACGTTTTGCAGAATTCTCCCTGAATGTCATAAAACAGATAGCAAAATAGTATGGTATCACACTTGTACCTGCCCCTCAACAGTGACATGTCCCCCAACCACAACCAGTTGGGGAAGTGCCAGATTGAATCATCCTTAACTGTCACTACCTGATACCAATACCACCTACCCCAAAGAAGAAGTATTCGCAGAAAAAGTGTGTTGTGTGTTTTAGCACCACAAAACGACCCCAACAGTGGAAGGACACACGATTCATGTGTCACCAGTGTGGGGTGGCATTCTGTATGAATCCATGCTTCATGGAGTATCATACAATCGTAGAGTTCTAGAAACGTAAGTGGGACATGTAAATATTTGTATATAGTTGTAGATAATAGAATGTGATTCAACCAGGTGTGAAAAATCACCTATCAGTGTGTATATGTGTTTGTGACAGTATGATTATAATTATGTATATAATATTTGTGTATAAACAACAATTGGCCATGAAATCAAAAGAATTACTGTAAAACATGATTATCATATCATAAAAACTAAGAAAAAAAAAAAAAAAAAAAAAAAGATAAATATGTAGAATTTCTGCAAGCGGCAGAGCTCCACGTTGCCGTCAGGTGATCATCAAGTGCCAACTTCGCAGGCTCATATCTCAGTAAGTGCTGGCCCAATTTTTTTTTTATTCTATGACACGTAGAAAAATGTGCTCTTTATTTCTATAAAAGAAAAAAAGCATTATTTTTTTTCAAAATGTTCGTAGCGCTGGGCAAGAGAACATAAATCTATGTTTGGACAGTTAACAGGTTAATATGCAGAGCATTTTGGGCAAACTTAAGATTAATTAAGATTAATAAGGCAATGACAAACTGAGTGGTTTTTATATACAGTTTCTTAGGTTTGGTAAAAAAAAAAAAAAAAAAAAAAAAAAAAA